AAAGAATGACCAGGAGTTAGCCTGGTGAAGGGCAGAGCAGGTAATGTGAAGGCATCCCAGGCCCTGAAAGGGACAGGCCTGGCTCTTTCAGAGACCTGAAGACAGACCAGCATGAGTAGGTCATTGTTAATGATGCTGTTGAAGCTGGGTAGGCAGGTCAGATAGATCACGCAGGGCCTTGTAAATCCTATTAAAGATTTTGAACTTGCCACTGACGGCAACTAAGAGGCTACTGACAAGTTTCACGCATGAGCTAACATGATTTTTTTTAATGTAAATTTCCTATAAAAAAAGGCAAAGCCTTTCCTACTCCACAAGTGTGGGTGTGATAGCATGATGATTTAAATTCCCTCTAAGTTATAGGAAGGTAGTAGAGAAACTTTCTCTGCGCGAGGCTTTGATGAGGGTCAAGAGTGGGTAGAGTGTCCCTGTGGGACTAAATGCCAGGAAGAAAAAAGGAAGAAGGGCTTAGGAGCTTCTGCTTTGTGGTTGTAGCTGAGACTCATCCTGCCTGTCCATATCAAGCGGCAGGAGTGCGAGTTCATCTTCCTCTGTACGCAGGGGACCCTGGTGCTCGGGCTGGGTCCATACAGAGGCTTTTTTCCTACACATGATCTCATATAGAGACTTCATTCACTTTCCAGGCATCTCAGTCACCTCCCTGAGAATGATACCCAAATCTATATGTCCTCCGTGACCTTGAGATTTTCATTTTTAATATCTTGATGCGATTGCCCTGTGCTCATACACCACGTTAATGACCATTGCAAACATGCAGCTGTTTAGTGTTGGTCTGTGTATATAGTTCACTGCTGCTTGAAAAATCACATAGACCCAGCCTTGACTGCCCTCCTGCATTTCAGTGACGTGACTCACGTTATCTGCTTGACAGACGACCCTGGGACGGCACTGTCACCACAAATAGCCTGCCTGCAATTAAACTCATCATGTCTTTCCCTAACCAACTGGCCTCTGACCTCCTCTGCCTCTGTCAGTAACATCGGCTTTTACTACCTCCCAGCTTCCAAGGTCTGGAGTCTTTCTTGACTTCTTTGTCTTCTGCCCTCACCGATGCAAGCAGTAAGATTGCACCTGATGGCCTGGGGGAGCGGGGGGGATCCCACTCACCTGGGAGAATGCTGCTCACCTGGGGGGATGCAAATGCCTGCATGCCATTTGTTCCTCCCTTTCATTCCCCTTTACCATCCTCATCCTACTCACCCCGAAGTAGGCTGCTTCCACCACATCACCACTCCTTCTCCTCAATCTAGGTCCCATTCCAGTACATCTTTGGCGTCACTGTGACTACTTTTACGAGTTGTTCTTCATCAAGCCTATCTGATTTAGCAAAGGCTGTTCTACATTGTTTTTTACAGTGGAATCTTCTTTTTTTTCCTTAAAGGAATGTTATATAGAACCCCAACCCTCTGGTTAAAGATGGGCTAACGGGAGCACAATTGCCTTGATCTGTCCTCGGCAGCCTCTTTGGCACCCAGAGGCTCAGCAAGGCAGTTTGAAAACAGGGATGCACGGAACAGAGTTAAGCTCCTTGGAAGGATATGCATGTTTTCTTCACAATGTCTTTTTAAAAAATATTCTAGTTATCCATCTATGCAAACCTTCTAACCTAGTCACACAGTTCACAAAGAGTTCCCGGGTGCACAGTGGCATTCCCTAGTCCCTGCCTGGGCCCTGCCTTGAGGGCCTGGATGCAGGCCGTGCATCTCTGCCAGGCTAACTTCTCCTTTTCTCAGCCCCAATCCCACCTCTCAAGGGGTTCCTGGATTATGTCAGCTCTCAGCAATTTTTCTTTCTTCAAATTCCTGTAGTATTCCTCTTGTTAAACTTACCCTGTGCTATCTTGAACATTCATCTTTTCGGGTATACATTTGATTTCTTCCACTAGAAAACAGGCCACTTAAGGGAAGAATCAAGTCTTCTGTTACTCTATCCTCAGCTCCCAGTATAATATACGGCTCATAGGATTTGCTTAGTGGGTGTATTTTGACGATAACCCACAGTAAGAAATGATAACTATAGGTCCATCGATCTCACTTTCATTAATAGAAGTCTATGTTAAATATTCTGTCTTTGAAAATGTTCCTCCAGAGCACTGCTTTTAACTTCAGAGAGCCAGCCACTATGACTTTAATTACAATCATTACTTTTTTCTCCAATTACTGTTAAGCCTACAACTAGCTTTTCTGACTCTCTTTCATTAAATTACTCTGGAAGTAGATTTGGGGAATGACCACAGATGTCTGTGATTGGGGAGTTCTTCATCTAGACTAGAAATAGTGTTTTAGTCCATCCCCAGACATTTTAGCAAAGTCACACTTAAATCATAGTCAAAAGATTACAAGAAACTTACTCGTATTAGTATCTAAGTCAAATGGTGTCACTTCTGCTTTAAACCACTTAGCGTGTTTTACAGGGCCCTCTCCACCTCTCTAGCCTCAGCTCCACCACCTGCCCCTCCCTCCCCCTGGCCCCAGCCCCCACCCCTCTGCCCACC